GAGGAGGAGGAGGAGGAGGAGGAGGAGGAGGAGGAGGAGGAGGAGGAGGAGGAGGAGGGAGGAGGAGGAGGAGGAGGAGGAGGAGGAGGAGGAGGAGGAGGAGGAGGAGGAGGAGGAGGAGGGAGGAGGAGGACGAGGAAGAGGAAGAGGAGGAGCTTGGGGATTGTGTCGGAAATGTTTTTCCTTCAGGGACAGAGTTTTGTTTCCATCTGGCCCCAGTGGAGAAAGAGGAAGAGGAGAAGAACACAAACCTTCTTCTCCTTCTTCTGGTCGTGTTTCTGAACATCCAGAGTTAAACTGTTTCAATCTCATTAAGTCACATTTAAGAATCAACTGACAGAATCACAAACAGAAGCAGCGAAAGACGGAACAACAACTGAAGAATCATGATGTCGTATCGTCTTGTTTAAATTCAGGTTTTATAGAAGCAACAGTTTATAAACAACAGGAACTACATTTCCCATGATTCATTTCAGCACAAACAACATGAAGAAATACAGTTTTTACTTAAATTCTTGGGATTATGATGAAAATAATTCACATCAAAATCTTGTCTGGGTATTTTAAAAACAAAACTGTCCCATCGACAATTAAATCAGCCTCTTCAAAATATCGCAGTAAATATCGAACTGAGAGATTTGGATCTGGTGAAAATATCGATACGTCTCTAGAAACAGTTTTACCGTCACCTGAAGAAAAAGTTCAGGTCAACGTCTAAACCAGGAGCAGAGATTCTTTTGTTTTTTCCCTGGGGCCACAAGAGAAACAGAAAATATTGTGGAGCCAAAATGTTGAACTCAATTCTGCAGAATATTGAACTGTATTTCTTTATAAAAAGCAAAAAAAAAAAATAATTAGGTGTTTAACGGGACAAACATCACGGTTCAGTTTGTCCCTCGGTTTTGAGCTCACGGTTCGGTTCATTTTTGGTTCAGTTTGGGAACAAAATTCAAAACCATTTGTGTTTTTATGAAACCAACAGTTTGTTTGAACATTTTACAAACTGGAAAATAAAATAAATGTTTGGTCAAACTAATAAGTTCAACAAAATATTCTCAAATAAGCAACAAATGTCTGAAATATTATAAAAAATCAATTCCTTGTCAACAGTAAACAAAACTTTTCAAAAAGTAAAGCACAACATGAACATTTCCAGCAGCAACTTTGACTCAAACTTCAGATTTTTGGACAGAAAAAAACAACTTGTCCACAGAGTCTGAGAGCAAATCTGCTGCAGGAACAACGTCACACAAGATGAAAAACCATTTTCTCCAGGGGCAGAGGCTGTGGAGACCAGGGACGGGCACTGGATGAAATGTTCTTAATCGATCGTTAATTCTTCCAATGATCGATTAATCATGAACGTTTTTATATTAAAATGATCATCATTATTATTACTATCTGCACTAATCTGCATCAATAAATTCAATTTTACGACATATAAACATAACGACTCTAGATCCACATCAGCTGTTTGACATTATAATGTGTTTAATTCAGTTTTGTTCAAATCTCACAGAAACAAAACTTAAAACCACATCACTAATTTACATAAACTAAGTGAAGATAAAACTCCAGCTCTTGTGTCGCTGATGTGGTTCAACTTGTGTTGGATTAAAAGACATGACTCAGGTGAATACAGGTCAGTGTGACCAGATTTGTGTTTGTCAAAACCAGGACAGCGTACGGGGGGAGGGGGCGGGGCCTCGTCATCCACATTGAGCGACTCTCACCTGGAAAAACTTTTTCCCACTGGACACAGAAACATATGTGCTGCTTTATCCACTGTGCACATGGACTCACACTTGTCCCAACGCAACGGAAAGTGTGGAATTTCTTCTACAAATCCTGGTTAAATCCACATTTGTGCTTCGGTTCGTTACAGACTGACCCACTGTTTGTGTCTCGCTCCTTCTGATGCAGAGACACATGTACACACCTGTTTGGTCACGACACACACACATACATTCAGTTTGTCCATTAAAATCAACGGAATCGATGAAATTCTTAATGATCAATTATCGATTAATCGACTAATCCTGCCCATCCCCAGTGGAGATTTCATGCTGGTGAAAGGTGAGAGTTTGGACAGAGGAGCAGTGACTGTGGTTCTGCAGGATCCTCGTGGTTCAGGGGGCGTGGTCAGGTCGGGGGGCGTGGTCAGGTCGGGGGGGCAGGTGTTGTGAAGGTGTCGCTCCAACTATAAAGATGCAGGAAACTGAACCGAACACAGACAAGTTCCTCGAGGAAATGAAAGAGTCGAGTCTCTGTGGAGCTGCACGTGTGGAGACTGAATATAAACTCCCACAAACTGAACAAACAAACGACACGAGCTGAAACGACTCGACTCAAACACATGAACTTGTCATGGTTCATGTTTTGTCGTGGTTGTAGTTTGTGTTTTATTTGTGACATTTGTTTTGTCTGTTTGTAGTTCTGAGTTTTACTTCCTGATTGTTTGTTGTTGTTGATTGTTTGCCCCGCCCCTAATGTCTCACCTGTGTACACACACACACACACACACAGACACACACACACACACACACACACACACACACACACACAGACACACACACACACACAGACACACACACAGACACACAGCACACACACACACACACACACATCACAGACACACACACACACACACACACACACACACACACACAGACACACACACACACACACACACACAGACACACACACACACAGACACACACACACACACAGACACACACAGACACACACACACACAGACACACACACACACACACAGCACACACACACAGACACACAGACACACACACACACACACACACACACACACAGACACACACACACACACACACAGACACACACACACACACACACACAGACACACACACACACACACACACACACACAGACACACACACACACACACACAGACACACACACACACACACACACACAGACACACACACACACACACACACACACACACACACACACACACACACAGACACACACACACACACAGACACACACACACACACACACACACACACACAGACACACACACACACACACACACACAGACACAATCTATTTTAAAATGGTTCATGTTTATTTTTATATTTTTTTAAAACACAAACAGAGTTTAGACAAAAAGTAAAACTTTTCCAGTCGAACATTTGTGTGTAAAGTCTGAACTCAGAGTCAGATTAAACCAGAGCCTCTGTGGCCCCTGGGAGCCGCTGTTCTACAGAAACGAGCTCCCGCAGCCTAAACCGACAGTGACGTCTATCGATTCACGCTGCCCTGTCGAAATAAGCTCCTTATGTTTTTCTGTTTACATTTGTACAGATCCAATAAATCCAAACCCTGACCTCTGACCTCTGACCCTGACCTCCCAGTTTGACACATGTTTATCTGGGTCAGAGTTGTGGGTTTGATGTTGTTTCACTCGGGGATCAGACTTTAGACTTTAGTTCTGTCAAATCTAAACTCTAAATCTAAACTCTTTTCTGTGAGTGTGTGTGGCTCATGTGGACAGTCGTGTTCTGCTCAAACTCCGACTAAAGTTCACACAGATCCACAGAACAATTTATCCTCCAATAAAATAAACGTCCCACTGCACAAGAAACATTATTCAAACTTTTACAGGAATCTGCAGAACTCATCTCCACAGACCCAGATCTGAATATCAAATAAAACTAAACTAGAGAAGAGAAAGAAACGACTGAAACACTCAAATCTTTAGATGAAATAAAAATCACAGGCTTCAGTGTGAATTTCTTATTATAATACAGTGATATTTTATTTATCCAGTGACTTTCGAAACAAAGTCACAACGATTTCTGCTCATGGAAACAAAAGAAAACACCATGTCATGAAAATGAAAAAGATAAAATTAAATATTAAATCCAAACTGTTCAATCGTCTAAAGTCGGTTTTCTGCAGCAAATCCAACACACACACGTCGATGTTTAACTGGAACAAACAGAAAATAAAATAAAACCAAAACACTTTTATAATCTGACTCCACTTCTGAACGAAAGAACCAAAGAACAGAAAACACACGAGTCTGAAAGTCGCTTTTGGAAATGATTTATTAGTTTTGAATAGAAATTACATTTTGCTGAGATTACATTTGATTTAGGATGTTTCTGTGTTGGATTTAATTATTTATTTATTTTTTTGCAAATGTCAATTTCCAAAAGTAGAAATGAGTCAAACTAAATCAGTGAAATGGCGCCACCACGAGGAGCTTCAAATCTTTAGATGAAATAAAAATCACAGAAAACAGTGTGAATTTCTTTTTATAATACAGTGATATTTTATTTATCCAGCGACTTTTGAAACTAAGTCACAACGTTTTGTACTCATGGAAACAAAATAATGATAATGAATAACGATGTCATGAAAATGAAACGATAAAATCAAATATTAAATCCAAACTATTCAATCATCTGACGTAGATTTTCAAATTGAACAGACACACGTCGATGTTTAACTGGAACAAACAGAAAATAAAAACAAAACACACGAGTCTGAAAGTCACTTTTGGAGATGATTTGTTTTTAATGGAAACTGCATTTTGCTGAGATTATATTTTGTTTAGAAATACAAAAATTCTGGTTGGGATTTATTTGTTTTATTTTTTGTCAATTTCCAAAAGTAGAAATGAGTCAAACCAAATCAGTGAAATGGCGCCACCACGAGGAGCTTCGGTGTCAGCGCAGCTCCTCGTGCAGTTCTCTCATGAGTCCAGCAGGGGTCAGACTCCGCGCACAAAAACGACCCGAGCTGCGCCTCTGCGTAAAAGTCTGAAAACACGAACCGAGACGCGCCCGAACCCTTCACTTTCACTGTGGAGGTGCGGGGTTTTCCTGCGTGTTTCCCCGCGTGTCCCGTGGGCTTCTCCAGACCCACACGCGCCCTGAACCCCCCGCGCACAGCTCCGGGGGGTGCGCGCCCTCCTCACCGGCAGGGGCGGGCTTCTCCTCTCGTGTCTCTCCAGGACGCGCAGTGCGCAGACTCCGAGCGCGACCACGTGTGAGGAGTTTGTGTTCCGTGCGCGCAGCGGCTCAGAGACACGCGCAGGAGGAAAACCGGGAGCAGAATCACCTTTAAACTTCTCAGGATCGCGACATGAGGCCAGGTAAGCGCGCACGCACTCAGGTGAGCACTCACTCTGCTGGTGGAGGTTTTGGAGACGTCCTCAGTGCGCGTGATGTGCGTAAAACGACCCAAAGACTGCGCCACGGGGAAAACCTCAGACCCCCCAAACACGTGTCTCCACTCCGGGATATTCTCTCGGTTTACCTTGAAATTCTGCTCCAAAAACCAAACTTAAGCTTTTATTTTGTGAGACGCGCGTCAGGTTGGGCACGTTTCAGCAGAATTTGGGTCAGAACTTTTGGGCCTGCGCCGGGAGTCTGGGGTGAGAGGTTGGAGTGCGCACGATTACGCGTGTCGTGCGTAAATCCTCCTGAAGAACAAGGTCAAACAAAAACCTCTCACTAATGAAATAAAAGTTCCTACAGGCTTCAGTTTATTGGGTTTAACTGTTCAAGACGCGTCAGGTTCATTCTGGGTAAACATCTGGACCAAAAACTTCTTCTTCTTCAACTTTCATGAGCTGTGATCTAAAAAATAATCAAGATTTGGACAGTTTTGTTTTAATCCATGAAAGATTTGGGTTGGTGAGAGTCCAAACTGCGCTCTGTTCGGTTTTGGTTTGGGTTTGGTTTTGGTTCAGTTTGGGGTTGGGGTCAGTTCAGTGTTTGTCCAGCAGGGGCAGCAGTGAGCAGAGTGTGTGTTTGTGTGTGTTGCAGGGTTCAGTCCTCGTGGTGGTGGACGTGGAGGTGGACGTGGAGGCGGTTTTGGAGACAGAGGCGGTTTTGGAGACAGAGGCCGCGGGGGCTTCAGAGGAGGACGAGGTAAGTGCGTCTCACCTGGATCCTCACGGAGGGAAGGGACGGAGCCCACGGGCACACACACACACACACACACACACACACACAGCTGACGCCTACTCATCTGTGTGTGTGTGTGTAAATATGTGTGTGTAAATGTGTGTCATATTCCAGCAGTTTCATAAATCTGCTCCATCACCAAATCTTCAACCAACAAACTCCACAAAGGAGAAACATTCTTCATGAACAATTTATCCACAAATATCAAGAGAAGAAAGAACAAAACTTAAAGAAACAACGAGTCACACGAGTCACACTGGGGTCAGGCTCTATGTTCCCTCATTTCTTAGATTTTTCTCAAAGTGAAACTTTAATTCAACTCATTTTTATTTTTATTCCACATTTAAAGGGATGATTCAGAGTCATTTTGACCTTTACGTTACGTCTGTCGTCTGCAGCTGGAGAATAGTTTGGCTGTAATTGACCAAATTGGGAGAAATGGGATCAAATCTGATGTAAACTGATGACAAAACTTGACTGACAAAACTTAGAAATGAGTTCAGGTGTAAGAAAAAATAGATTCAGTGACACATCGTGATACTTCATACTTCACCCTGCAGTTCTCCAACCGATTCAAAATGGATACAAATCAATTTTTAATATATTTTTTACAAAAATTCATCAGTGACACTCATTGTTCTCATGATAAAAAATATATATATATATATATATATATATATATAATATTTCATGCAGTTGTGTTTCTTGAAAGTGTAGATGACTGTATTTGAAGTAAATATTGATAAATCGCAGTATATCATGTATTGTTTTAGTATCAGGATTTATCATGATATATTGAATTGTGATGTGAGAATCATAATATTTCTCGTATCGTCAGACTCGAGGCAACACACGCCTCTAGAAATGAGGAAACATCTGCAGATTTCTGAACTACTGAACAAAACTAATGTTATGTTCAGGAAAAAAACAGAAGGAACTTGTTCACTCAGACTCATTCTACAATTAATAATTACAATAAAAAATCTGTTTCATGATGTGGATCTTCACACAGACACAGAGTTTTGTGCAGTTTAAATGTTTGAGTCTCTAGGATCAGAACATGAGTTGACCCCAGTTTGATGTGTGACTCGTTGTTTCTTTAAGTTTTGTTCTTTCTTCTCTTGATATTTGTGGATAAATTGTTCATGAAGAATGTTTCTCCTTTGTGGAGTTTGTTGGTTGAAGATTTGGTGATGGAGCAGATTTATGAAACTGCTGGAGAAAACGACACACATTTACACACATTTACACACACACATTTACACACACACATTTACACACACATTTACACACACACATTTACACACACATATTTACACACACACACACACACACACACACATTTACACACACATTTACACACATTTACACACATTTACATTTACACACTTACACACACATATTTACACACACATTTACACACACATATTTTCACACACATTTACACACACATATTTACACACATTTACACACACACATTTACACACACATATTTACACACATTTACACACACACATTTACACACACATTTACACACACATTTACACACATTACACACACATTTACACACATTTACACACATTTACACACACATTTACACACACATTTACACACACACTTACACACACTTACACACACTTACACACACACTTACACAGAAAAACATTAACCAGAAGTTCCACAAACCTGCAGCAGGACACTTCTGGACTTTGTGAAAAAAGTTCTATAAACACATATAAAAACACAGTTACAAATAAAGTGTTACAAAACTCCAGTGCAAATGGTTTTGTTTAAGTAATTTATAAGTAAATAAAGTTAGAAGTAATTCAATCATCAAACTTGGCTTAAAAAACACAAGATATTGATACTGTATAAAAAACATGATTTTCCAAGTCAGGTTAGTGAAATCGATAAATAAGTTACAGTTTATTCCTCGAGACGAGGACGGGGACCAGGTCATGTGACAAGTCACATGTTCACACTCTGGACTCAAGACTGTGAGTCAGAACATGAGCCCAGAGCTTCACCAGACTCCTCAGACCTGAAGTCCACACTCGTCACACGACTGAGCTCGTCACACGTTGGAGCTCGTCACACGACTGAGCTCGTCACACGACTGAGCTCGTCACACGTTGGAGCTCGTCACACGACTGAGCTCGTCACACGTCTGAGCTCGTCACACGACTGAGCTCGTCACACGTCTGAGCTCGTCACACGACTGAGCTCGTCACACGACTGAGCTCGTCACACGTTTGAGCTCGTCACACGTCGCTGCTCGTCACACGACTGAGCTCGTCACACGACTGAGCTCGTCACACGACTGAGCTCGTCACACGTTTGAGCTCGTCACACGTCGCTGCTCGTCACACGACTGAGCTCGTCACACGACTGAGCTCGTCACACGACTGAGCTCGTCACACGTTTGAGCTCGTCACACGTCGCTGCTCGTCACACGTCGTTGCTCGTCACACGTCGCTGCTCGTCACACGTTTGAGCTCGTCACACGTCGTTGCTCGTCACACGACTGAGCTCGTCACACGACTGAGCTCGTCACACGTTTGAGCTCGTCACACGTTTGAGCTCGTCACACGACTGAGCTCGTCACACGTCGGCGCTCGTCACACGACTGAGCTCGTCACACGTCGCTGCTCGTCACACGTCGCTGCTCGTCACACGTCGCTGCTCGTCACACGTTTGAGCTCGTCACACGTCGCTGCTCGTCACACGTTGGCGCTCGTCACACGTCGTCGCTCGTCACACGTCGTCGTTCTGATGCGGGTCTGTGTGGTGCAGGTGGAGGATTCAGGTCTCCGGACGGCGGTGGATTCCGGGGCCGTGGCGGAGGCGGAGGCAGAGGGACCCCCAGGGGCCGCGGGGGCAGAGGCGGGCCCCGCGGCGGCCGGGGAGGATTCGGAGGAGGCAGGAAGGTCCTGGTGGAGCCGCACAGACACGAAGGTACAAGAACTCAGAGCACACACACGAAGACTCAAATATCTGTGATCAATGAGACTTAATGTTTTATTACTCATGTTTCTATTTGGGTTTGACTTTTACATTGATTTAATTCTGTCTTATTTCACATGTGCCTCTTGCTCTTTGTTGCTACTTAGAATTTATTATCACAGACCTGGACTTGTGTTTTAATCCTTGTGTCATTTATTTATTCGTTTTTCAATATAAAACCAAAAAGTTTTCGATTTTCTGTTTAAATGGAAAAACGGAAAAAAACTGATAATGACGTTTCCCTGTTTATGTGACTTAAATTGCGACACGAATCAGGACTAAACCTGTCTGTCCCGGTCTGGTTCGAGCCTGGTTCAGTCCTGGTTCAGTCCTGGTTCAGTCCTGGTTCAGTCCTGGTTCAGTCCGTTATCCGTTTTTTCCATTTTTCATTTAAACACCAAATCGAAAACTGAAAAAACAAATCTTTATCTGTATAATGAAGAAAATAGTTGTGTTTTTGTTTCTTACTTTTGGTTTTATTTTGAAAAACAAATGAACGATTGACACACAGTTGTTTTGTTTCATTCACATGTTTGAGTAACTTTATTATGATTCTGTTTACATCTCCAAAGCTCCAAACGCTCTGCTCCACCTTGTGATGTCATGAATCAGTAGTTTTTAAGTGAACAGCTCCGTTTACCTTCAGTTCAGTCGAGATCGGTGATTCCAGGACTGAAAAAAAAGATTCTAGTGAAGCTGTGTGGAGTTTGAACACAGACGTCACACGGTGGAGCAGAAAAACTCTTCAGTCTAAATGTTCAGGTTTGTGCGTTAAACTTGTGAAAGAAACAAAAAAAAACACACCTCCAGGTGTGTGTGACGAGGAAACGAGATCAGAACTCAGAAAATCTGGAGCCGTTTAATAATTCTGTTTGATCAGAAATAAGAATGAGACTTTCACGTCCAAACTGCAGATTTACAAACCAAATATTTATCAAAACACAGTCGACAGTTTACAGAGTCTGTGTGTTTCACTGGTTCAATCATGTCGCTGAAGTGTTTCTCTGTGTGTGTTTGTGTGTGTGTGTGTGTGTGTGTGTGTGTGTGTGTTGTGTGTGTGTGTCTGTCTCTGTGTGTTTGTGTGTGTGTGTGTGTTTGTGTGTGTTTGTGTGTGTGTGTGTGTGTGTGTCTGTCTCTGTGTGTTTGTGTGTGTGTGTGTGTGTCTGTCTCTGTGTGTGTGTTTGTTTGTGTGTGTGTGTGTGTGTGTGTGTGTTGTGTGTGTGTGTGTGTCTGTCTCTGTGTGTGTGTGTGTGTGTGTGTGTGTGTCTGTGTGTGTGTGTGTGTGTCTGTCTCTGTGTGTGTGTGTGTGTGTGTCTGTCTCTGTGTGTGTGTGTGTGTGTGTAGGTGTGTTCATCTGCAGAGGTAAAGAAGACGCTCTGGTGACGAAGAACATGGTGGTGGGGAGTCTGTGTACGGGGAGAAGAGGATCAGTGTGGAGGTAACGAGACTCTGTTCACACGAGAAGGTTTACGGACAAAAACCACAAAATATTTGATGAAGTGTTTTTCGTTTAGTTTTTAGTCGGTGACGCTGTTTTTGGGGCTTAAAAACACAAAAATCTGAAACCACCTCCAGAGTGTAAAAGTTGAACAGGCTCCACTGTAGAGTTTCTGTCTCCACTGAACAAGACACAAAACTCTGGTCACATGTGCTCAGGTCGTGTACGAGTTTACGTCACAAACAAACATGTGCATCATTTTAATGCGTCGTAATAAACTCACAGGAGGCAAAACAACAAATGTGTTGAATGTGCAGAGACACTGTTAGTGACAGAGAAGAATCACCTCTGTCAGACTCTGGACGCACCAGGTCGTCTCAGTCGAGTCTGAGTCGAGTCAGACGGATCTGGACCAGACCTGGAGAACCAGTGGAAGGAGGAGCTGATGAAACTGTGGAGTGAAAACTTCTGTGTGTCCAAAGACGCTCTTGTTGTTTTAAGAACAAACACACACAATCCAATTCACACACTTTTGTTTCACCGTCTGCAGCAGATTTACTCCTGAAAACACTCGACTAAACCACCAAGAGAAAGTGAAGACGCGACGACACTTTTACGTCTTCTGTTCAGACCCTCAGCATATAAACGTGGCCTTAAAATCTTTAATCCTTCCAGCCCAACGATCTCGTACACGACACCTGGGAATTTGTTTTATAAAACCACACAGAACTTTCCAACCATAAAAGACAGAAACTTACATTTTTCCCTTTAAAAGCTGAGTCTTTCCGAGCAGATTTCTGTCATTCTCCTGCGTCACTCGCTGTGTGATGATGTTGGGAAAACAAGTGTCCAATAGGAACTTTGTTTTGGTTAAACTCAGTGGCTCCGTCCATTCTGATTGGTCCAAACTTTGCCAAAGAGTGTAGTGAGTCAAAAAGTTCAATGCTCCTGGCGTCTGTGTTCAGAACAAGTGAAAAAGTCGCTCTAAGTGCAGAGATTTCTCAAACTAATAGAACATTCTATTGCTATTTTTATTTTTAGGTTTATTTGAGTCCAAATGTCCAAATCCAAATGTAATAAACCTCATGGAAATGCAGAAGTGATGTGTCTCTGTGACCTGCACCAGTCAAGTCATGGGAACATTGAACTTTTTGTTTTGTTTTGAGGCAATACGATTTTTAGCTTTACTTACACATTTGATATTTTGCACTTTTGTAGCGAAGTCCCCAAATTAAGCATTTTAATGTCCAAAAAGTTGTTTCTACATGTTAATTTTATGTTTTATGTAAAACTGAATTTTATTTTCAGTTTTGTTTTGTTTTTTTCATGTGTATTTCTGGTCCTGTAGTTTTTATTTCAGTCACATGACACGACTCCAGCAGCAGATTGTGAAATAACAGGTTGATCTAAAAAAAGAGATGTAAAACACTTCATCAGGGGGTAAAAGGGGCAGATTTAAACGCAAAATGAAGAAAAAACTCCAGTCGAGGACAAATGTAGTAAAACTGCCTTTAGATGTGGAAGAGTTCAAATCGTTTCACTTCTCGTTCTGCGGGACAAAACCGCCTAAAGTGTTTTTATGAAAAGTGTTTTGTTAAACCCTTTTCTTTTTCTTGTTGTTCGTTTGTAGGAAGGAGAAACAAAGATCGAGTACAGAGCGTGGAACCCGTTCCGCTCGAAGTTGGCGGCGGCGATTCTGGGAGGAGTGGATCAGATCCACATTAAACCCGGAGCCAAAGTCATGTACCTGGGGGCCGCCTCAGGGACCACGGTGTCCCACGTGTCCGACATCGTGGGCCCGGTCAGCACCTCTACTCTACACTACTCTACTCTACTCTACTCTACTCTACTCTACTTTACTCTACTCTACTTTACTCTACAGTACTCTACACTACTTTACTCTTTACTCTACTGTACTCTACTCTACTCTACACTACACTACTTTACTTTACTCTACTGTACTCTACTCTACACTACTCTTTACTCTACTCTACTCTACTCTACTGTACTCTACTCTACACTACTGTACTCTTTACTCTACACTACTCTACTTTACTCTACTCTACTTTACTCTACTCTACTTTACTCTACTCTACACTTTACTCTACAGTACTCTACTCTACTCTTTACTCTACTTTACTCTACTCTACTCTACACTACTTTACTCTTTACTCTACTGTACTCTACTCTACTCTATTGTACTCTACACTACTCTACTTTACTCTACTGTACTCTACTGTACTGTTCTCTACTGTACTCTACTCTTGTACTCTACACTACTCTACACTTCTCTACTTTACTCTACTCTACTGTACTCTACACTTTACTCTACTTTACTCTTTACATTACACTCTACTGTTACTCTACTGTACTCTACACTACTTTACTCTACTCTACTCTACACTTAACTCTACAGTACTCTACTCTACTCTACACTACTTTACTCTTTACTCTACTGTACTCTACTCTACTCTATTGTACTCTACACTACTCTACTTTACTCTACTGTACTCTACTGTACTGTTCTCTACTGTACTCTACTGTACTGTTCTCTACTGTACTCTACTCTTGTACTCTACACTACTCTACTTTACTCTACTCTACTCTACTGTACTCTACACTTTACTCTACTTTACTCTTTACATTACACTCTACTGTTACTCTACTGTACTCTACACTACTCTACTCTACTCTACTCTACTCTACTTTACTCTACTCTTTACACTACACTACTTTACTCTACACTTTACTTTACTCTACTCTTTTCTCTACTCTACTCTACTTTACTCTTTACTCTACTCTACTTTACTCTACTCTTTACTCTCACACTCACTCAGGCTCATGTGCTTCAGAAAACCTCGGACAAATTTTAAGATATAAAAACTTACTGTATTTTTCGCAGTAAAAGTCGTTCCTGTCTGGACTTTTAGTTGGACATTCAGACGATCAGTGAACCTGCGCCACATGATCCTGATGTTTTTATTTTACTGTTTTGTCTGTAAATAAATTCCTTTTCCTAATTCCTGGTTCCAAATTCCCTTGTATAAAGTGTGCAGAGTCTGTGGTACAAACGACACAACCGCACTGTTTATCACGAACGAGTCAGATTCCTTCAGAAATATGTTTGTTCTTCTGTTTAAAAGTAAAAGTTTGGTGAACTCCAGTGTGATGTGGTCGTTTTGTGGCGTGTGCAGGAGGGGCTGGTTTACGCCGTGGAGTTTTCTCACCGATCGGGCCGAGACCTTCTCAACGTCGCCAAGAAACGCACCAACATCATCCCCATCATCGAAGACGCTCGCCACCCGCACAAGTACCGCATGCTCGTGGGTACGTACGCACAAACGCGCCAACGCACAAACACACAAATGCCAACACGGACACAAACACGGACACAAACACGGACACGAACACGGACACAAACACGGACACAAACACGGACACAAACACGGACACAAACACGGACACAAACACGGACACGGACGCTGTCGGGGGAGTTACTGCACCGTCATGTGTTATTTATTTACAACTTGTTTGTATTTCAAAGTATTTTAAGTGACTCGCACCAAAATAACTGAAGTGAAGATGCAGAACTTTTGCACCGTATATGGACTAAACCAGGACTAAACCAGGACTAAACCAGATCTAAACCGAAGACTGAACCGAGGTCTGAACCGAGGTCTGAACCAGGTCTAAACCAGGACTAAACCAGGTCTAAACCAGGTCTAAACCAGGTCTAAACCAGGTCTAAACCAGGTCTAAACCAAGGACTAAACTGAAGACTGAACCAGGTCTAAACCGAAGACTGAACCAGGTCTAAACCGGGTCTAAACCGAAGACTGAACCAGGTCTAAACCAGGTCTAAACCGAAGACTAAACCGAGGACTGAACCAGGTCTAAACCGAGGACTGAACCAGGTCTAAACCAGGTCTAAACCAGGTCTAAACCAGGTCTAAACCAAGGTCTAAACCAGGTCTAAACCGAAGACTGAACCAGGTCTAAACCGAGGACTGAACCAGGTCTAAACCAGGTCTAAACCGAGGACTGAACCAGGTCTAAACCGAGGACTGAACCAGGTCTAAACCGAGGACTGAACCAGGTCTAAACCGAGAACTGAACCAGGTCTAAACCGAGGACTGAACCAGGTCTAAACCGAGGACTGAACCAGGACTAAACCAGGACTGAACTGAACCGAACCGTCGACTGAACCGAGACCAAACCAGGACTCGGACTTGGACTAGTTCTTGGACTCTAGTTCGGTCCGTGCGTGAACCCTGAGCTGGTGGAGCAGGTTTCCTCGGAGCTCGATGGGCGTTTGCTGCTCTTCACCTCGTGGAGCTTTTTGTTTTACTTTTCAAGTGTCTGTGTTTCTCTGTTTTATATTTTCTGATCAGTTCTAATGTTGTTTTCTCACAAACATCTGGAGTTTTGTGAATGAAACAAAAAAAACAACACATGTTTAACTCACAAACCTGCACATTTAGGCTGAGTTCTTCTCTCAAACTGAAAACAATCTGCTCCACCTTGTGATGTCATCATGTGGTGATACAGGAAGTGCTCCACTGTGTTTTTAAACTCCACACTTCACCTTCTAGAATCATCTGGATCATTTCAGTCCTGGAGCCGAACTCGACTGAACTAAAGGGAAAAAGAGCTGAGAACTTGAAGAATTAATGTTTTGTGACATCACAAGGTGGAACAGAGCGTTTAGGACTGTGGTGATGTAGACAGACGAATAATAAAGTTTTACTCAAACATGTGAATGAAACAAACACAAGTCCAGCTTTGTTTTTGAGGAGGAAACTGTTAGAACATGATTTTAAACTCATAATTTTGCTTCACAAAGGACCTGATAATCAGAGCTGCTCAATTATAGAAAAAAAAACCATCTCGATTATTTTGAACATTATTGAAATCACGATTATTCAAACAATTATTTTTAGTTACAAGATGCATTTATTCAGCATTTCTCTCTCCAAAAAAAATATTGTTATTGATGTTATTGATAATTTACACAAAACTTTCAAATAGAAAATATATATATACAAATCTGAACCTTGGAGCAGTTTTGTGACGTATAAAACATAAAATGAATAAAATAATTTGAACATGAAATAAGACAGAAAAACAATAATGTGTCCAAACTCTGTATGTAGATGATCTGAGTTTGGAGATTGTTTGACTCACAAATTGAAATCACGATCAAAATTCAGTTGCACAGACTTAGTGGTAGAACTTTCTTTTCTGTTCCCATGTGGCCTTAGATCATAATGTGTAAGTCCTGGTTTAGTCCTGGTTTAGTCCTGGTTTAGTCCTGGTTTAGTCCTGGTTTAGTCCTGGTTTAGTCCTGGTTTAGTCCAGGTTTAGTCCAGGTTTAGTCCAGGTTTAGTCCAGGTTTAGTCCAGGTTTTAGGTTTAGTCCTGGTTTAGTCCAGGTTTAGTCCTGGTTTAGTCCAGGTTTAGTCCAGGTTTAGTCCAGGTTTAGTCCTGGTTTAGTCCTGGTTTAGTCCTGGTTTAGTCCTGGTTTAGTCCAGGTTTAGTCCAGGTTTAGTCCTGGTTTAGTCCTGGTTTAGTCCTGGTTTAGTCCTGGTTTAGTCCTGGTTTAGTCCTGGTTTAGTCCTGGTTTAGTCCAGGTTTAGTCCAGGTTTAGTCCTGGTTTAGTCCTGGTTTAGTCCTGGTTTTAGTCCAGGTTTAGTCCAGGTTTAGTCCAGGTTTAGTCCTGGTTTAGTCCTGGTTTAGTCCTGGTTTTAGTCCAGGTTTAGTCCAGGTTTAGTCCTTCAGTTCTTCATGTCTTCTAGTCTGTGTCTTATACTTTTCGTTCTAAACACATTCAGGAGACGTTCTGCTCTGTCCTGAAAATGTTTTCTTTGTTTTCGTGTCGTTTAGGATCTGATTTCCAAGTCCATATTTCTTCTCTTGTCCTGTTTGTCGACTGTAGATGTTTGTCGGTGTAAACAGTTGGTCTGTTCTCCTCAGGGATGGTGGACGTCATCTTTGCAGACGTGGCGCAGCCGGACCAGACCAGAATCGTCGCTCTAAACGCTCACAACTTCCTTAGAAACGGCGGACACTTCGTTATCTCCATAAAGGTGAAGTACAAACAAACGAGAAACTCTTAAATATCCAGTGTTTGGAGGAAACACTTATAAAAGTATCCAGTTACTTTGCTGTGTTGCTTTTTGTCGTAATGCAGAAATGTAACAAAATAATTTAGTAAAATATATCAAAAAATACTCCTGGTGATTATATCAATACAGCAGCCACGATATCGATATCGATCATCACATTAAACCATGCGATATATATATCGATATTTCTATATTTTTCCACACCTCAGAGTCTGACATTGAGCCTCCACCAGATGAACACAAATGAACACACACGGACACACACACACACACACACACGGACACACACACACACGGACACACACACACATATACACATACACACACACACTCACTCATGGACACACACACACGGACACACACACACACACACACACGGACACACACACACAGACACACACACACGGACACACACTCAGTGGCTTCGTCTTTTCTGCTTCACTGGTGGAAAAACACAACACCCATGGAAAAGTCTTATCTTCACTTTTACTGCGCACAGATCCACACACACACACACATCCACACATCACACACACATCCACACACACACACACACACACACATACACACACACACACACACACACACACATCACACACATCCACACACACACACACACACACACACACACACACATACACACATCCTCCATGGAAAAGTCTGACTTTAAAACCTGTTGATTCTTGGAGTTTTGAAAGAAAAATGTCATAAAACATTTGAAGCTGCTGAAAGTTCCATGTTCCACTTCTGTTTCCAGGCCAACTGCATCGACTCGACCGCCGCCCCCGAGGCCGTGTTCGCCTCTGAGGTGAAGAAGATGAGCTCTGAGAACATGAAGCCCCAGGAGCAGCTCACCCTGGAGCCGTACGAGAGAGACCACGCCGTGGTGGTGGGCGTCTACAGGTGTGTACCCCTCACCCTCACGGAACATCTGCGAGATCGGGACATGTCCACGAGATCGGGACATGTCCACGAGATCGGGACATGTCCAAGAGATCGGGACATGTCCACGAGATCGGGACATGTCCACGAGATCGGGACATGTCCAAGAGATCGGGACATGTCCAAGAGATCGGGACATGTCCAGGAGATCAGGACATGTCCAGATGCACAGTTCTTCCCAAGTTTCTCCTGTTGATATTTCGTGGTGACCTCACTCTGGGGGTGTTCTACATTTTTACTCTGGTGACACAATCCACACGTTGGAAAACACCGACAAAAGTTATAAACTGGACTGAAGAAACTTTAAATACAAACCTGATTTACAGAGCACATTTTCTGGAGCCTGTGATCAGATAAACCGGCCTTTTCTGGTCAGATTTTGTTAGACTTTAACCTTAGTTTTATTTTATCTTGAGTGACAGATCTTCAGACAGAGCAGTGCCTCCTGTTAGCGTCACACTCCCAGTGAAAGTTGACGACATCAGCTGCAAAGTTCAACAGTCAGACCTGACGTGAGCTAAAAGATACAAACCTGTTTCACACAAAAAACAAACCTGCAGATTTAGCACGAGTTCTTCTCTCAAACTGAAAACACTGATCCACCTTGTGATGTCACAGCTCCACTGTGTTTTTAAACTCCACACACCTTCACTAGAATCATCTGGATCATTTCAGTTGTACTTGAGACCGGTGTTGGCCTCAAGACTGTTTTTTTGTGGTCTTGGTCTCTTTTTGGACTCAGTCTTGTCTCAGTCTCGAGGTCTGACACTTGACAAGTGATAAATGGAGATGGATTTAGAAAAACACTGATATAAATGTCCCAAAATAACTGTAAAATACAAATGTTGAAAATGACTAAATTGGTCTTGATTTGGTCTCGACGGACTGTGGTCTTGGTCTTTAAAAGTCTCGGTCTTGGTCCTCAGAGGTCTTTGGTCTTGTCCTGGTCTCGGTCTCGACTACAACACGTGTACATCTACATCTCCAAACCTCCAAACGCTCTGCTCCACCTTGTGATGTCACGACGCGTTGGTTTTCTGCCTGTTCCCTTTCGTTTCCCAGATGATTCTAGTGAAGGTGTACGGAGTTTAAAAACACAATGGAGCGATTCTTCCCACATCTCCACATGACATCACAAGGTGGAACGGCGAGTGTTGTTTTCTGTTGGAGGAAAACTCGTGCTGAATGTGCAGGGTTTGTTTGTGCGTGAAACATGTGAACGAAACAAAGAAACAAAACTCCAGATGTTTGTGACGAGGAAACGACATGAGAAAAGAGAAAATACAAAAAAAAAAGTTTAATACAAACGCTTAAAAACGACAAAACTGATCCAAATGTGGCTGTTTTTTATCACAAGTTTCTACAGAACAACTTTGTAGAAATAAAAGTTAAAACTGTAGAAACTCTGGACAAGCTCTGAGCAGTGTTGGGAGTAACAGATTACATGTACCAGAGTAATCAGAGTACAAATGATGAGTAACTGTATTCAGTTACAGTTACTGTTTCAGTGAGTGGGAATTGGATTACAGTTACTTTGTTGAAATAAATGGATTACACAGAGGGATTTAACTGTTTTCACATTTTGGGCTAAAACCAGGTCTAAACGAGATCTAAACCAGGACTAAACCAGGACTAAACCAGGACTAAACCAGGACTAAACCAGGACTAAACCAGGACTAAACTAGATCTAAACTAGGTCTAAAACCAGGACCAAACCAGGACTAAAACAGGATTAAACGTGTCTCTTCTTCGTTTTCTATCAATAATATTTTTAATTTGGTTCAGTAAAGTTTGGACTTTTTATTTTCTTTTATCAGACAAAACTTCTTATGTGAAGATTTCCTCGTCTTTGTTTCTCTACAGTAAATCAAGTAATCCAAAGTAATCAGATTACATTACTCACTCTAAGTAATTTAATGGATTATGTTACAAACTACATTTTGGGATATGTAATCTGTAATCTGTAGGGGATTACATTTGAAAAGTAAATTTCCCAACACTGACAGTGAATGAAACAAAACACAACTCCAGGTCTGTTTGCCGTAAATAAACGACATTAAAACTTAAAAAATAGTTAAATATTAAGGCCATTTTAAGTATAAATATGAGCTGCAACGATTAAAAAGCAAAACGATCTGATAATTTTCCATAAACGTGACTTGAATCTCTCCAGTTTTGCAAAGAAAACTGTTGACGTGATTAAAAAATGAGCCTTAAACTGTATTATTCCAGCTTTAATTTAAGGAAATATAAGCCAAATACAATAATTTTCATGCACTATTTTAACCTTTTGTTCGTTAAAAGTAAAAAATATTTCCTAATCTTGCTGCACGTTGAGTTTGTGTGGAGGTGCGCCCCCTTGTGCTCGCTGTAGGTCACTGCTCCGGCTCTGAACGTGGACCTGACGGAGCAGAATGACACGGTTTCATCCACGTTTACGTTTGTTTTTGTGCCTGTGATTCCGTAACCGTTGTTTCGTTTCTGCTCAGTTTCTTCCAAGCTACAAAATGTGACTTTTAAAGGCACTCCACCTGATTTTTAGAGTCTTAAAAACTTGGAAAAACATCACTAGTTCATTTAAAAAAGTTTGTAGTGGTGCAAAGTTTTTCCTCAGTTACTGGAATCACTCTAAAGCTTTTCAATCTAATCCAAGCTTTATTTTTATCGCACATTTTACCAACACAAAGTCTCCAAAGTGATGCAGAGTACGCACAATATAAGCATAAAATAAACAAATATAAAATAAATAAAATAAAAAGCACAAAAAATACTGAAATTAGAATTTAATTTTTTTTTTTAAAAAGCACAAAAAATACTGAAATTAGAATTTAAAAAGCACAAAAAATACTGAAATTAGAATTTTTAAAAAATTTATAAAAAGCACAAAAAATACTGAAATTAGAATAAAAAAGTTAATAAATAAAAAGCACCAAAAATACTGAAATTAGAATTAAAAAATACAATAACAGTCAGAGGAGCACATGATTCTCACGCCGTGTTAAAATCTGCTGAGTAAAAGTGTTTTTAAATGAAACTTAAAAGAATTGACAACAACTAGCATGCTAATGAAGACTTAAATATGAAAATACAATTCAAATTATTTCACTAAAAACTTAATTAGACCTCAAGAGCTGCTCATACATCATTATCTGTACTGGAGCAAGACACGTTTTGATCAAATACATAAGGAAAAATAAAGTACAGAGACTTTTAAGTGTCAGTAAATTTGTTTTTTTTTTGTCTTTAAAAGGTCCATATTATGTCATTTTCTGATCTTTTCTAATGTTTCCACATCAAAAACAGACCTGGAGTTGTGTTTTGTTTCATTCACAAATGTTTAACGCACAAACCCGGCACATTTCCGCTGAGTTTTTCCCAAAAACAGAAAAAAAAAAGTCACGTAGAGGAGCTCTTTTGTGTTTTTAAACTCCACAAATCTTCACTGGAATCATCTGGATCATTTCAGCTCTGGAAATGTTGATCTACTGAACTAAAAAAGTAAATAAATGGAAATTAGAGCTGCTCGATTATGGAAAAAATCACTATCACGATTGTTTTGGTCAATATTGAAATCAAGATTATTCAAACAATTATTTTTTACTTAGATGATGCTTTTATTCAGCATTTCTCACTCAAAAAACCCACTTTGTTATTGATAATTTAGTCAAAACTTTCAAATCGAAAATAAATTCAGGCTACAAATCTGAACTTTTGAGCAGTTTTGTGATGAATAAAACTATAAAATGAATAAAATAAACTTTGAACATGAAATAAGACAAAAACAGAAATGTGTCCAAAATAAACTATATCCAGAGAAGTGGGACCAAGTCGTTGTTTTGAGAGTCTCAAACAAGTTTTAAGTCTTTGACCTCAAGTCCGAATCAAGTCCCGTCTCGAGTCTCTGGTCCATAAGTCCAAGTCAAGTCCAGGTCGTCTGGTTTGAGCTTCAAGCCATTTCAAGTCTTTAAACCAAAATACCAGATATAATAGAGCTTAGATTTTTGCAATTTATATGGGTTTTAAACTAAACTACTTAAAAAGTCACAGTATATTTATATTTGAGTATTTATATAAAGAGTTGAAATTGAGAATGAGAAATTTTGTTAATTTTTCTGTTTTAAATGTCTTGACAAGATTTTATTGTGAAATATTTCATTCAGAACAGAAACAATTCAGATTTAAAAGAGCTTCTCAAGTCTGAATCAAGTCCCAAGTCACAGGCCTCAAGTCCCAAGTCTCTGTCCATTTTATCAAGTCAAGTCGTAAAAATAGTGACTCAAGTCTGACTCAAGTCCAAGTCACGCCTCCTAAATCCACACCTTTGAAACTCTATATTTTTTTAAAAATGAAATAATTGCACTTATTTATTAAAAAAAAAACATCCCAAAATAAACTTTAAGCTTCATAAATCATTTCAACTCGATTATAAGTCTGGAGATCGTTTGAACCACAAACCGAAATCTTGATCAAAATTCGTTTAATTGTGCAGACTTAACAGTAGCTGTGAATTTAAAAACTACAGCTTCATGACATCACAAGGTGGAACAGAGCGTTTGGAGGTTTGGAAATGTAAACAGACTCAAATGAAATGAAAGGAAAACACAAACTTTTGATTTTTAAGGAGGAATCGGCGTCAGAACACGACTAAAACCTCACAAGAATCCATTTTGTGAAGTTTATCTTTATCTTCACCTTCATTTTGGATCTTTATGAGTTTCCGTAACGTTTCTCTCGTTTTCTCTCGTTTTTTCCAGACCTCCTCCGAAGCAGAAGAAGTGACGTCTCCGTGCAGATCTCCCGCCGTCGCCGACAGTTTTCAGTTGAAGCAGAGAAGAGTAGTTTGTATTTTTAATTATGACATGTATATTGATTTTATTGTCTTTTGTATTGTTTATTTTTCCCGTTTTATTTCTGGTCAAGAGGATCGTCTTTTCAGTACATTTGAAGCAGCCGTGTGTGAACTGCTCTGGAGTTTGAAGCTAAAACGGCACAAATATGAAATGTACAGACTTTATTAAAAAACAGTTGGAGCTGACGTACGTTTTTTGTCGTGTGTGATTTCGGAAAACGCTGCACGGGACGATTGTGACGGGGTTTTGGGGGTAAATGTTTTTGCTTTAAGGATTCGTTGGTTCAAGAACAGTGACCAAAGTTTAAAAATCAAAACCTGGGACATCCTCGGTTTGGGGCGAGTGGTGATAATAAAATTGTAAAACGAGGAAAATAGTTTTGCAGAGAACATTTACGATGAACGTGAGTCAGTTTAGTCACATTCTCTTTGTGTTTTGGTCGTTTTTAAGCAGCTTTTATGTGTTTTATCTAAACAAATGATGAGTTTATGCATGTTTTTATTGTTGGAAGGGATCAAATTGGTCAAAAATTTAGACACCTGGGACATTTCTTGTGTTTAAAAACAAAAAAAACTGGGACAAATCAGTGGTTTTGGAGAAATCTGCTGGGACGGGGGGACACAGGCTCAGAACTGGGACTGTCCAGAGGAAATGGGGACTTGTTGTGTTCAGGAGTCGACCCGGGGATTCGTTTGTAGGACTCTGGGACTTTTGGGTTTGGACCTGAGTCAGAACCGGTCCTGACTGTGTCCGGTCCTGTGGTGCTTTTGCCTGGAGACTGTGAGTCGTTGGTTCAAGAACAGTGACCAAAGTTTAAAAATCACAAACTGGGACATGCTCGGTTTGGGGCGAGTGGTGATAATAAAATTGTAGAATGAGGAAAATAGTTTTGCAGAAACATTTACGATGAACATGAGTCAGTTTAGTCACATTTTCTTTGTGTTTTGGTCGTTTTTAAGCAGCTTTTCTGTGTTTTACTGAAACAAATGATGAGTTTTTGCATGTTTATTGTTGTGTTAAAAAAAAAAAACTGGGATAAATTAGTGGTTTTGGATAAATCTGATGGGACAAGAGGGTCAAAACTGGGACTGTCCTGTGGAAATGGGGACTTGTGTTCAGAAGTCGACCCAAGGATTCGTTTGTGGGACTTTTGGGTTTGGACCCGAGTCAGAACCGGTCCAGTCTGTGTCCGGTCCTGTGGTGCTTTTGCCTGGAGACTGACACTGCCTTTACTGTAGGAGCCGGTGAACACGGTCTAATTGGTGCATGAAGAGGCTTTATATTCAATTAAAGAAACGTGCGTTTGTGCGGCGCGTCTGGGCGCGTGTCACCGCAGGGTCAGACGCGTGAGCCGTGATCCCGGGCCGCGCACCCGCAGCCACGGCTCATAAAACGCGTCTTTCTCGCGGCCACGGAACAAATGTGGCGCCGAACGTAACTTTAGCAGCACTTTGCTCAGGCTGCACGGGCTGGGATCTGGCAGCCATTTTGTGGGACCGTGAGTGGAGCGCGCTGGGCCGTGCTCGCCTGGCGTCGGGAGTGCGCTCAGTGCAGCCCCTCTTCTGTGACCGATGTTCCACCACAGAGGGGCTGCCCGGCTACAACACGCCACAACACGGCCACAACACTCAGCCTCCTCGCCGTTTTCCGCGCTCCGAGGGCCGCTGAGCCCGGAGCCGCTGCGCTGAGCCGGACCGGACCGGACCGTCTTCCTCTGCTTCAATGGCAGCGTTTTTATGGACCGTTAGCATGCTAGCTAACAGCTAGCTAGTTCCGTTAATTATTATTTATATAAATATTAGTAATGCTGGCGGGTTCGGCGGTGTCGGACGGGCTGCGGCGGCTGTGGCTTCAGTAAAGAGACGCATCGAGCCGCTTTGGGCTGAGCGGGACCGGGGTTCGGAGCTGTCAGCGGCCGCGAGCAGCTAAAGTTGAGCCGGTGACAGGAGCTCGTCTCCGGCGCCGCGGTGCCAAACGCGCCGCTTCGGCACCAGCACCGACGGATTTATCGGCCCTTGTGTTGGAAGACGCCGTGGGGATTTGGACACTGGTGGGAGAAGGACCGCTGACCCGTAAGGGTTGGTTCGTGTGGACGGGGAGAGCTGGTTCCGATCATGGCTGCTACACGGCACTGGCACCGACACCGCGCCTGAGGTAAGTGCGGCTTTGTGCCGTGTTCTCCGTTAAAAGCCGGTTCTGCTTTGGGCGTCTCTGGTCGAACGCAGCGCGGGCTCAGGGTCTGAGGCCGGTACCGGTGACTCAGGCGGCCCGTGCCTCTGTGTCCTCCCCCCGACCCTCCCCGTCCGCCAGGAAAAGCTCTGACAAAGATTCGCCCAGAGGCTCATTAGGAACGTTCATTAAACCGCCCCGAGTGTTCGGACGGAACCGGCCGCTGCCCGGCGGAACCGAGCCTCTGTGCACAGAACACGGCTTCGTGTGATGAGGAGGAGCCATGTCATGTGCACAGAACAGAACCGGGAGCCGGGCCGCGCTGGTTCTGGGCCGGGCCGCGCTGGTTCTGGTGTGTGCAGAGGCACTGGGCCGGGCTCGTGTGCCGCTGTCGCATTTCGGCTTTGCCCACTGCTCCACTCGTGCGCGTTTATTCGGCCTTTTGTTGTGGCTTTACCTGCTTCTGCAGCTCGTGCGTTTTTGCACCTTTCTGTGTGTCTCCGTCTCTACCGCAGGAGCCCCAGCCCCTACCCCAGCCCAGCCCCTCTACCCCAGCCTCTACCCCAGCCCCTACCCCAGCCCTCTACCCCAGCCCCTACCCCAGCCTCTACCCCAGCCCCTACCCCAGCCCCTTCCCTGCCCCCGAGTGGAGCACGTCCCTCTGATGATCCAGGATTAACAAAAATCACCAGCATCACACCTGCACTGTTCACACAGGCCGCTCCGACCCACATGTGCCCGGCTCAGCTTTTGTTCACTCACTTCAGATTCTCCACAGTCATGTCCCAGTCACCTGTGCACGGCTCGGATGGTCCATCACACCAGACACACGGTGTGAGCTGGACTCAGGCTGGACTCGGGCCGGACTGGGCCAGAACCATCCAGAACTGATACATAGTGGATTTAACTTTAGTGAGAAGGGAGAAAACAGAACATGATGGACCCAGTGTGGTCGAGCAGCTGCTGATTGACACTGAACACTTGTTTTGTTTAGTCCTGTTCACAGTTCTGTTCAGATGTTTCTGTATGTGTGTGGGGCCTTCACACTGGGCCTCCTGTTTGCTTTTCTCTTTAAACAGCTCTGATTATTTAAGTCAAGTCCAAAATGTAGAACAGGAGCAGTTTTACAGAACGACACCTTAAACCGAAACAACCGACTGTGCAGAAGTGACATTTTAGATTTGTGACGAGGGTTCCTCCTGGTCCCGTCGTTTGGATTAAACTGAAGTGGAGCTGTGCACATTTGGACCAAACATGGAGCCCGGTCCTCGGTGAAACTTCACTGTTATATTTATATTGTCATGTCATGGGCAAATTAATTGTGTTTAATTCCTTGAGGGGGTCACTTAGCCCAGGGAAGTGCTGCCAGAGATGGACATCAATAAGAACGTGATGGAGAGCAACAGCTGAGCCGAGCCTGTGAAATCCTGACCTGCTCCTGGTCAGCCCTCACCCGTCCGGGGGGCAGGGCAGGAGCGGCCCTCACCCGTCCGGGGGGCAGGGCAGGAGCGGCCCTCACCCGTCCGGGGGGCAGGGCAGGAGCGGCCTGTGTGTGAAACCAGAACCATAAAGTCTGTGGCAGATCTGTCCAGTGTCTCAAAGCAAAGATGTGGTGTGGAGCACGTGCTGCTCTGAACATCTCACATGTTTGAGGAGGACTGGGGCTCGTTGGCGTTAGTCGGGTTTTGTCATTAGGAAAGTAACAGTAACTGAAATATCGTGATATCATCTGAAGTCTCATAATATCATGGATCGTCTGTATCGAATCACAAGTGTCTTTGCTTAAATTCTTTCTTATTTTGCAGCAATAGTTTAAAAAGTGAACTACACAGACCATGATCCTTTGCTTTGTTTCAGTGCAGACGACATGAAGAAATAAATGTTGAGCATTTTTAAATCTCAGGCCTCGTTTTCACGTACACGGGTGTTTTTAAAAACACGACATTTCTCTTCGTCTTTTCCACTCAAATGGTGATTTCTCCTCTGAAAACGAATCTTTCTAAAAACTCCGTGTAGAGTGAAGATTGTGGAAAACTCTGATTTGGTGTTTGCGTGTAAAGTGATGAACAGAGTTTTAGGAGCTGACAAAAGTGTGACCAGAGTTTCCCTTTTGCTCTGACGATGAAGAGGATGGTGAAACATCAGTCATGTTTCTTCTGCTGAAACACTTTTCATGTGTTTCATTCACTCACAGCTGATGTTTCATACCCATGAGCAGAGACCAGTGAGTCTTTATCAGATCTGTGGAGAGGCGAGCCGCTCACTAATGAACCATTTTAAACAGATTTGTGAGTAAAACTTACAACTGTAAAGAAATAAAAGCTCCAGGTTTGAATCTGATCCAGCTCCGCCCAGAGACTCGTGGAGTTCTGACGGTCTCGCCCGCTTGCACTGTTGCCACAGCGATTAACAATTAAATACAAAAAAAGTCCTCAAAATGTCTCCAGAAAGGTGCCCACAGTGATGCTACAGAATCTACTCAGTAAATTAATGTAGAAACCCCTCACAAAAGCCGGATCTGTGGAAGAACGAGCTGCTTTAGAGGCCCATGACTGACCCACTGCTTCAGATCCTTATATTACCAATAAATGTAAACTAAATATGAATTTCTGTAGTGAGAGGGCCCCGCTGAGGGGACGGGGCCGTGGTCAGGGGCCCGAAGTGGTCAGGGGCCCCACACTGGTCTGCAGGTGTGACTGCAAAAGGCTGAAACATTTCTCCTAGAGACAGACCAATATGTTGTTTTTTTTTCATGGCAGATACATATGCTGATAAGCTCCGTTGATATTTTTGGGCCAATTTTGGTCATTTCCCACAGATAAAGATATTTATATTTACTACAAACTCGCCCACAGCCTTTTGTTTTATTCTTTTGTGAATATCGACCTGTGCTGGAGATTTTCCGCCGATATTCCATTCATTTAAAAGCACAAATATCGGCCCAGTATTTAGACAAACCAACTGACATCTTAAATTTCTACAGGTGTGACTGCAGTGGCCTGAAACAACTGTGTCC